AAACGGCGAATCAGAGCGAGGGTTAAGTAGGGAGGAAAATCTCTCTTGCACCCAACTCCAGCTCAAGCTGCAAAAGTAAGAGGTGGCGCCGGTGTCACCGAGTGAGTCATTAAGACGCCTGGTAGCGTGCATACTTGTGCTCGCTCACGTAATGACAACGTAATGACTCAGTTCACGTAATGACTCTTTTGTCTGCAACCTTCCACAGCGCTCGTGGAGAGTGAACCGGCGGTTGATGCATAGCAGAGATCCTGGGCTCTCTGCAAAACACCTGTGAGATGAGATAAAACGCTTTCTTAATGGCGTATTGACAGTTCTCTGTTTTTTGTCAGGCGTGCTCCATTCATGTCGCCGTTGGAAGTTGGTAAGCGATTGTTTACCGGATGGGGTCCATGTTGAGTCACGACGTCGCCGAGTATTGGTCCGCTTGTGTGCCGGGGATGGCGAGGTGAAAGCAGACGGAATGCTACCGCCATTTAGAGGTTGCCAAAACTCTAGCCAATGGAGCCAGGCGCATTGGGAACCCATGCTACGGAGAGAAGCCCGGTAATGGTTGGTTGTGTGATTTTTAAATACAAAATACACTTTCTAGGCTATGATGCACACATACCATGTACCAAACAACACTCGGGCGGGATGTGGTGTTGGCTCGTCACAGCAACGGCGTGAGCATTTTTGGGACGCCCAAGATTCTCAAACAAGCTTTGATTTACGGACAGCGTGGCCGCAGATTTATCGAAAAAGTTCGACTTTCCCTGAGTTATGCCGTGAGGGGTCAGTCCACGACCTCAACGAAAAGCAGGTCGTGAGATCCAATGTTATTGATAGGACATTGAAGGCGAAATGGGCTCCCGAGATGAGGAGGCGGCCGGAAATGGCTCCCACTCTCGCCGCGTCGACGCTCTTCTCGGTGCTGGTTCCGACGGATGTGTTGCGGGGTATCCTTGTGGTCATCCGGCCCTGGCTGCATGGTACGCATGCATCATGCTGTTGAAAAGCGCACGCTTGACAGCCAACGACGCTACATCGCCGCTCGCTACTTGTGAGAGCACCTATGTGGGGCCGGTTCGTGGGCGGTGACCCAGCAGCAGTGACCGACCCGTGCAATTCTCTCAGCTTGGCAACCGCACCGCCTCATGAAATGCTCATTGCCCAAAACCACGCCTGGGTGAACTGCGCTGGATGTCACGATCATGTCCAGTTTCCGGCGTCCGCACGTGACGCGCCGCCCTCTCGCCGACAGCTGAACAAGGACGACATGGGCCTGGAGAACGAGGAGCAGAACATGATCGTGGGCGCGCTCGACCTCAAGGCCAAGACGGTGGGCGACGTGATGACGCCGCTGGACGACGTCTACATGCTGCCCTACGACGCCATTCTCGACTACCACACCATATCCGAGATCATGGAGCAAGGTGGGCGCCCGCTCTGGGGCAGTCGTGTACGGGATCGCCCGCGAGGAAGAGCGCTGCTTCTGTCACACAAAAAAAAAACTCCGCGATAAACGCCCCTGACGCGTCACTAGACACGACCGCTGGTCTCACTCGTGTAGTGAACCAGACGGCTGCATTGATTGCCGGTGCCGTACAGCCGCAGAGAACGGGCCATCGTTTGACATTCATTGGCCATGCTGAACCGAACGTCCACCGCTCGTGTTCGCGGCTCTGCTGTGTCTGGGTCTTGCCGACAAGGATGGGGGGTCCGTTAGCTCAGCTGCTGTGTCTGTGGGGAATGGGACAGATCCGGCCGACAGGGGTGGGTTCCGTTAGCTCAGCTGCCGTGTTCGTGGGGAATGGGACAGATCCGGCCGACAGGGGTGGGTTCCGTTAGCTCTGCTGCTGTGTCCGTGGGGAATGGGACAGATCATGTTGACTGGAGTGGTGTCCTTTAACTCAACTACTGTGTCTGCGGGGAGGGGGACATGAGTTCAGTGGCCGAACTAGTGACCTGTTGGTGAACGACCAAAGGGCAAGCGACCGTTGACGTCTGGGTATGCCACATGATTGCGTAAGCCCGGCAGCCGCAGTCAGGGTAGTGGACGGATTTCAAAGACCATACGGTGCATCCACATGGCTGAGCTTTCAAAGATTCGTTTTTCGCTGCCGCGATTATTTTTTAGTAATGCCTCGAACAACTTTTTAATCGGACATGCCTTAATCCTGATTCACTGCTGGTCAAAGCCACACTTATTTTCCCCGTTTTGTAGCCTTATGGCTAGCATGGTTGACGGATTTAGAGTGCGTTTGATGCAATGCACCACTATTCTCTCTCAAACTGTAAGGACAAACTGTGTTTTTCTCAAACTCAAACTGTGACCGTAAGACGTTTTTGCTGGACGGGAAACCATGTGACACATTCATGACTAGGTGCTTCCGTACCGAACTTCCTTTCTTCCTTAAAACGGAACTTCTTGGTGCTAATTTACTGTACCGTGTTGTAGCCCGAAAATAAGAAAAATAATTGTAAATCTAAAGTTTTCTCGCTAGCTCTGCTCAAAATTGACGCAAAACAGGCAGACAATTTTAGAATATATTTCGACTGCTAGCTCACATCTCTGTCGGCCGTTGTAAAGGTGTGCGTGGTTGCGGGTGTGATGGAGAATAGATGGCCGTGGAGGAGTGTGCTGACTCTGGCCCCGACCGTGGATAGGGCACGTGTGTGCGTGTGTGTGCGTGTGTGTGTGTGCGTGTGTTCGCGCATGCGCGCAAGCGTGCGTGCGCGCCATAGCTGCAGTTGTCCTGTCAGGAGCACGCGTTGTCGCGCGTCTCATGCTGCGTACCGCTCGGTGTCGCAGGCTACTCGCGTATCCCGGTGTGCGAGGGAGACCGCTCCAACATCGTGGCGGTGATGCTGGCCAAGGACATGGCGTTCGTCGATCCGGACGACTGCACGCCGATCAAGACGCTGTGCCACTTCTACCAGAACCCGTGGTCGTTCGTGTTTGATGACGTCACGCTTGACGTCATGCTGAGGGAGTTCAAGGAAGGTTGGTCACGCGCGTCTGATGTGACGCATGCGGTACTGATGCGCTCAACTCTGGCAGATGAGTGTGCGGAGTCACAGGATCGCTGAGAAGTCTGAAACGCTTCTGTGTGTGGTGTATTCATGATATCATACGGGCGGCTACCTGACCGTTGGGTTCCGAGTGGTGTGCTGTACGGATCGCTGAAAAGTCTGAAACGCCTCTGTGTGTGGTGTATTCAGGATATCATACGGACGGGTACCTGGCCATTGGGTTCCGAGCGGTGTGCAGTAGCTCGGATCCGGCGTCGTGCCGCGCTGTCCCGTGGCCTGACCGGGTGTCGTGACGCACCTGAGCGCCGACGGGCGCCGCCGCCGGCGCCGGCTGAGGCTGACGGCGGCGGTCCGTGACCCCGATGCCCGCAGGCAACAAGGGTCACATGGCGTTCGTGCAGCGCGTGGTGACGGAGACGGTCGGCGACCCGTACTACGAGCTGGTGGGCCTGGTCACGCTGGAGGACGTCATCGAGGAGATGATCCAGGCCGAGATCATGGACGAGACGGACGTGCTCAGTAAGTGGTGCAGCGGGTCCACCGCCTCAGGCCGCCCGCCGCTCGCCTGGACACCTACTGGGAACAGGTTTTGGTGCATGCAAGGAGACAGAAGTAATGAAACAGCCTGTGGCTCGACCGGCCACCCGGATATAGGCCACTTCGAAAGCTGTATGTTCGTGATGCGAGGTTAAGATAAGGAAAGCGCGTACACAGTTTCTGAAGGTTGAACGGTTTTGCGTCTCTGTGATGTTCGAGATGACTTATGAATTGTGACTGGTGTTGTTCACGGCCGGCTCGCCCATCGCCAGCTGACAACCGCACCAAGAAACGGCGCGGCAAGAAGCGACTCATGCCCGACCCGATCGCGTTCGCCCAGCCGACCAACAACCAGATCCACATCTCGCCGCAGCTGGCGCTGGCCACGTTCCAGTTCCTGCAGACCGGTGAGCGGCGGGGGGCGCCTGAGAGGCCGGCCGAGCTGGGCTGGGCGCGGCTGGGCTCCCAGTTCTGGCGTCATTGTACCCCGTAGACGTGTCTTTTGTTACCTGGTTTTTGCAGAAGTGCAATGCGGTCTTGCTTGACCTTCAGGCATTATCTGGGCGGAACCTGATTCAGAACAGTTAAGCGATGTGACAATGGGTCAGATGTTAAAGGCTGGTGAACTTTCACATGCAACACTTTCTGTTGTTGAGGAAGTCCGCCCCTGTAACTCAATGGTTAGATAACCTGATTCCCAGTCTACCCGCTGAGAGGTGTATGGGTTCAAGTCGCTTTGACGCTCGCTATTGGCCTCTGGCTGGGATGGTTTACGGCCGGTGGTAGCGGTCGCTCAAGGTCAGGTGACGTCAGGGGCGGACCGTGCCGAGCATTGCGGCACGACTTCCGCCGCAAAAATGTGCCGTGGAACTGGAATTTTCCGATCGGATGGTGAGGTCAGGGCTCACATAAGCGCTACGTAGCGTGAACTCTGAGTCCAGGTATCCATCCATGAAGATGATATCCTCACATGATATCCATACAGATATCCACAAAATAGGCGGACGGAATTTATATGAAAATCACCCCCTCCCCCTCTGCACACACAGACACACACACTGCCAGTCAGTGGAGCCGCACGGTGGCGGTCTGGAGAGCTGGGAGCGGGTCGTGGACGCCGCGTGACAGGCGGTCTGCAGGCTCAGACGTCTGGCCAGCGCGTGTCCGTGCTCGACCAGGGTCACATTCCACCAGTCAACACCGCTGTCCGCCCTGTTACAGTGGAGCCGTTCAAGAACGAGCTCATCTGCCCGTCCGTGCTGAAGAAGCTGCTGGAGCAGGACGTGGTGCGTCACATCAAGCTGAAGGACGGCAACTCCAAGGCGTTCATCTACGAACGGGTGCGCACCACAGTCGGTCCGAGGGTGGACATGGATTCTGAGCTGGGCACGAACATCCAGGGGCGGGGACGGCACCGGCACGGAAACGGGCTTCAGCTGCGGACTCTGTTTGGGCTGGGGGCGATGTTTGAGAGCTTGGGTATCTTAAATGTTGTTCTAGACAACGTACGCAACATGGCACACGGCAACGTTCCTAAATGCTGCACGTGACGCAGCTACATCTCGAACATCTGAACGAAATGTATGTGAATGTACATTTTAGGACGTCGATGATATTTTATGATGTTGTCATTCAGAACGCGTGATCAGACCCGGGAATCGTGACACAGTCACCGCAGTAAACCTGGGCTCGCATTTTTGTTACGGATGCCGCTAGAGTCGATGGGTGTCGGGGACCGGGGGGGGGGGGGGGGGGCGACAGAAGAAACAGATAACAACCCACAACGGTAAACTTTGTAGGCCTTTTGCAAGCGCGGCCGTATGAAACGCCATGCGAGTGCGCATTATTGCTGGTTGTAGATACAGCTGGCGTTTTTGGAAGGTATGAGTCACCTCCAATTAGAGTTTTTGCGCCGGTCGCACTGCACCCACCTGTACATGGTGGTGGTGTTAGTCACTCGGCTCCGATGACTGTACGTTGATAACAGAGCCTGGCAGCCGGGCTGTAACTGAGATCGTTGTCGCAGTTAGCTTAGCAACGGCCTGTACATGTTTGGCTGGCTTTAGGTTTGCAGTGCGGGGTATTGGCGACGCACTGTGTCGGTATGGCAGTCACAGCTAGGGTCGGTCACAGCCAGGGGCAGCCACAGTTGGGAGCAGCCGCAGTCGGGGGCAGCCACAGCCGGAAGCAGTCACAGCCAGAGGCAGCCACAGCTAGGGGCAGTCAGCCAGAGACTGCCACAGCCAGGGGTAGCCACAGCCAGGAGCAGTCACAGCCAGGGGCAGCCACAGTTAGGGGCAGTCACAGCCAGCGGCAGTCACAGCCAGGGGCAGTCACAGCCAGGGGCAGCCTCAGCCAGGGGCAGCCACAGCCAGCCGTCCTCCCCTGCTATCCAGGACCAGGGAGCCCAGCGCGTGACGGGGACATCCTCTTCCCAGAGCAAGCCGGTCGACTTCTTCTGCATGATCCTGGAGGGCCGCGTGGACGTTACGATGGGCAAGGAGAACCTGTCGTTCGAGAGCGGCCCGTTCAGCTACTTCGGCACCCAGGCGCTGACCATGCCCGGCGAGAGTGAGTGGCCGGAGCGGCTGGTGCCTAACGCCCTCTGGGAAAAGCAGCGTACTGCTTGTTGTGATGTCGTGCTGGGGTTTGAACTCGGGCAGGCGCGTGCTGGATGTGTGGCTGTTGCCCCTGCGGAGCGGGAGATGCCACTGTCTCAGCTGTTCCTTGTCCACGGCGGTTTGTGTGGCCGTGCTCCGAGTCTTGTTCCGGAACGCAGGCCACTTACCTGGTGTGGCCGTGTATGTGTGTGTGTATTGTGTGCTGGCTAGTGTGGTGTCTGTGTGTGTTTGCGACCGCGACTGCGCGGCATTTGCTGCGGCTCTGCGACGCTCCCATGCGGAGCCGTGGCTGTGTGCCACGCTCCGTGTGTGGCCGTGTGCCGCTCCCCGCGTGTGACCGTGGCTATGTACCGCTCTCCGTGTGTGGCCGTGGTTATGCGCTGCTCTCCGTGTGTGGCCGCGACTATGTGCCGCTCTCCGTGTGTAGCCGTGGCTGTTTGCCGCTCCCCGTGTGCGGCCGTGGCTATGCGCCGCTCTCCGTGTGTGGCCGCGGCTATGTGCCGCTCTCTGTTTGTGGCCGTGGCTATGTGCGGCTCCCCGTGTGCGGCCGTGGCTATGCGCCGCTCTCCGTGTGTGACCGCGGCTATGTACCGCTCCCCTGTGTGGCCGTGGCTGTGTGCCGCGCCGCGGCTGACCGGGTGACCGCCGTCGCCGTAGGTGACGCGTCCCCGGTGTTGCGCGGCTCGGTGCACTCGCTGGACGGCTCGCACCGCGCCACGTTCGTGCCCGAGTACTCGGTGCGGGCCGTGACGGACGTCTACTATCTGCGCATCCGGCGCGGGCATTACGTGGCGGCCCGCAAGGCCACGCTGGTGGCCGCTCAGCAGCGCGACCCCAACCCGCTCACCGAACAGCTGGTCAACGACATCGCCGACATGGTGAGCGGCCCAGAGCTGCCGGCTGTGCTGACGCTGGGACTCACCCAGGCTGGGGTCTGGGGTCGTCAGCTCGGCCCAATGAACTGGGCCGAACCCCGAGGTTGGGTTGTTGCGTGATTGCGATAGAACGTGTTTAGTTACTTGGTCCTGCAGTGTTTCGTGCCGTCGTCTATGGGTGATAAGACCCAGCTCAGCTGTTCCAAGCTGATTCTGAAGTCCCTTACGACGGATGGTTCCGGTGTGATCCCCATGCAGATGTGTTGCGTGACAGGCCGTCGCCTGGCGTGGTGCACCGCGCGTCGCGCGACCTGACGTGCCGACGGCTCTCGCGCGCGCAGGGCTCTCGCACCGACTCCCTGCGGGACTTCCACCTGAACCCGAGCAACACGGTCAGCCGGGCGGCCGACTCGAGTGCCACGCTGGTGTCGGCGCCGGCCGTGCTGGACGGCGCCGCGCCGCCGGCCGGCAGCGACACCGAGCAGTCGGAGCTGAGCTCGCTGCTCAGCGTGCCGACCACGCCCAGCGGGCGGCACGTTAACTTCGTGGAGGTGCGCGAGCGGCAGCGCAGCGCCTCGCACCCGGCCGACCCGGACCAGCGGCCGCCGGCCAACGGCGACGCCGGCGACATCGACCGTTCGGCGATAGTGTGACCCGCCTGTCGGCCGCCGGGCTAACGAGCAGTTCAGCCGGCGACGGCAGGTGGTGCTAGCGTGCAATACGGACAGTATTCTGCAATACAGCGAGGCGGCGGTGCTGTGGACGGCGTCGGCGCTCGCCGGCGGCGTCCGGCTGCGCGGGGCGCCGGACCGGCGCAGCGCCGGCGGGCGCTGCCACCTGGCGTTTGTTGACTGATATTTTAGATGTTATTGAAGCGTTGACCCGCGGGATTGCGGACGATGATAGCCACTATCGAGATGCTGCTGGTCGGGCGTCGTTTATCGTGGCGCGTCGCGGCGCTAGAACCTGTCTAGCTTGTTAGGACGGGCACGGGGATGCTCTTGGATCTTGTTTCCACACATCGCCCTGAAGGACTTGTGTTTAATGGATCTGTCTCCCTAGTCTCCCTCTGTCCTCGTCCCCGGCTCGCGTGTTTCTGATCGCTGCTTTTTGCTGGAGATTGTTTGCCCTCATATCTATGCATTTAAGTTTTCATATGGGTGGAAATCTTGGCTCACTCCCCTACGTGGGTCAACTAACGTGCATTTCGTGTCCCCTTTATTCTCGGTTTTGTATTTGCATCATGGGAGGGCAAGAAAGGGTTCGTCTGTCGTGCCGAAAAGGGCGACTTGGATGCACCTTAAGCTTATTTTCTCCTTCACGACACCACAGTGTGCAATTGCTCCGCTTTGAAAATGACTTGTTTCAAAGAGCCGCGACCAGTTAATCCAAATTGCTGTGTTTGGCATGATATTGCCCTTGCCGCAGCACCAGCTGCAGCTCTGGGTTGTATCCGTACTGAGTGAGTGCTAAATATCACTCTCAGTTGGGCTTTAGCGTAGTCTGTAGCGAGGGAATTCTGGACATAGTTATGTATGAGGCTGCTTGCGTGCGCATGTACCGAATGATCTTGCTGTCACATTTTTTCCTTTTTGCGGCGATGCTAGCCAGCCGCTCTCCCCTCTACACGGGCGGTCAGTGCCGTCAGCTAACCGGCTGATCGGTCAGTGGCCGGCGCCGTCCAGCTGATGGGTCAGTGGCCGGTGCCGTCCGGCTGATCGGTTACTGGCTGGCGCTGTCCGGCCGTCGGCGCCGCCCTCGGCTGTGCGGCCGCCGGCGCCGCCCCCGGCTGTCCGGCCGCCGGCGCCGCTGGCGGCTGTCCGGCCGTCGGCGCCGCTGGCGGCTGTCTCGCCGCCGGCGCCGCCCTCGACTGTGCGACCGCAGCGGCAGGCCTGTCCGGCGCGCCTCTCGCGCTCGCACAGTCACCCACCGTGTCACGGGCGGCCTGCTCCGAAGCTCGGAGTCAGAGCGTCCCGGGCGCCGCTGGCTGCCCCGCACCGGCCCGGCCCGTCCGACGGTGGTCCCCAGCGGGGTCCGAGGCTCGCGACGCAGCCAGGCGGCCTCTCTGTTACGTCGCCACCGACTTTTTACGCTGGGCGCTGGGCTCTTTTGAACCGCGTAGACATTATGTTCCCTGGTCGAGCCTCGGGATGTGCTTGCTGGTCATATCTTTTCCCGATGCTTTTTTTGACATGTTCTCAGTGATACCTTATGCGTATCGTCGCAAACTGACATTGCGTCTAGATGTTTCTTGCCTTGTTCGGAGGAGTTATAGCCATGAATACACGAGTACGTATGTGCGTGGGGTGTGGGTACAGCGGTATAGATGCGGCGGGCGGGGCCGCCGGTCCGGCGGTCTTTTGACGCAGACCGCCGCGCCCGCCTTCACCTCAGGTGTGCACAGCGTGTATGCAGCGTGCACAGCCGCGGCGCCACTCGCGCTGCGGGGTGTGGCTCGATGCTGAGAGTGGTCTTCAGACGTTTGAGCTCTCAACGAAGGATGCACGGATACGCAGCGTCACGTCCCACGTATCATGACAACGAGCTGCGGCCGCTGCGAGCACTGTGCAGCGCTCATGGCATGGATATGGGTCGCGCGTATGCGGTCGTCAAGTACACTATCAGCGATAAGGCAATGGGATGGTGATAACTGGTACACGGTGATACGCGGTGATGTCCTGCGACTTACCGGCGGACAACACACTACAGATAAATAATCACGACTGAACGCCAAGGCTGAGGGAGACAAACTCATAGCGACAGAAGTCGACTTGGCCGACCCGGCGCGGTCCCGATCGAACCCGACCAGCTGGTGCCAGCAGCCGGTCACGTGACGCAGCGCTTCCAGGCTCATCGGCACGCTTTCAGCGACGTTGCGGAAATCAGGCGCCGCCAGAAATGGAAGCAAGCTTCGGAGCGTGCCGGCGCGCTTCACGTGGTCTCGGTGCCAGCAGACGGCACTGCGGCGATCTCCGGCTTGAAGGTAAATCGCTGCAGGGGGGGGGGGGGGAGGGGATAGTTACGTTATCACTCACCGCAGGACAATATTTGACCAAATAAAGTGTCATTTTCGGCAGAGACGCGGCCAAAGGCGCCCACAGTTCCCCCCCCCCCCCCCCCGTCACGCTAAGGCTAAGAAGGGCCTGCAGTGATCCACTTCGGCGAAATGTCGATCCAGAATGGTATTCAGGCAGGGAAAGGGAATGCATCGTGGTTCAGGGTCCGCGGTGCGGAGATGCAGAAAATGACCCCCATAATGCGCAGGGTACCAAAGAAAACACGTCACCAGGAGTCAAACAGGTGGGGTGCTGCTGAACTTTGGGGGCAGCCGACATGCAGGACTGTCTGCTAGCTCTCCAAGAGGTCCACCACAAGTTTTGACCTCGGTCTGACCTTCCCTGGCTCAATGCAATTTGTTGTAATCGCAAAAACAGTTGGTGAATTGCCAAATGAGCTATTTCAGGGATGCATGGCTTCATCTAACACCGCGTTGTCGCATCAGATTGGGAGATTCTCTGGAAACGGCCTTCACTGACAAACAAGCCCTGATTTTGACCTGCCATAGGTCAGTAATTGTGTTATTTGCAATGTAATTTAATGTGATGGCAGCCATGTAATTTTTATACCAAAAACTCCGCCATATAATCGGCCGCAGCTATGCAAAGTTTGGCACAGCCACAGCGCGTCGTTCGCACGCCACGCTGGAAAAAACCGACGGGTGTCAAACTTTTCCCCTACCGAAGCGCGTGCTAATCTTTTCGGCACAAAGGTCATCAGCCTCGTTCAAATGTCCTGGCTTCTTAAGTTTCAAGGCGAAATTCGAGGTCGCCCAGAGGTGAAACTCCGCGACACTCGAAAGTTGCGAGTCTATTTCGGATCTTCGAGCATCAGAATGTTCAGTACGTTAGCCAGCGTCCGAGATGGCTCTGAACCATCACGGTCACCGTGGTGGTGATTTGGTTTTTAAGGGCGCGTCGGCGTCAGGGCCATTTTGCGCCCACCCATCACGGTCACCATTGAAGCAGAAATTCAAGACCAACTGACGGGTAGCTCAATATTAACTCAAAACATTTTTCTCTTTTTAGGATTAGAGTTCCTTCTGCGCATTAGCTACCGTCCGTCAAAGTCCTGGCCTCTCAAGGTAGATTCAAGGCAAAATTAAAGGTCAAATGACGGGAAACTTCACAACACTAAAGGTATAGGCCGATTTCGGAATTCAAGCCACATAATCCACTTCGGGGCGAAAACCAAACCAGTCCGTCAGATGCCCTCACCTCGAAAGAATGGTGACCTTGACAGGTCAAGCCCACAGCCGAGTAAAACAAGCCCCTCGACGATAGGTGGTCGCTGTATTTATTTCACACCAAAATACATCTATCGTCAGCTCAGCTTCTGACAGAAGCCATTCCTAGCGAACTCTACGGGAGCACAGTTGTGCAGGAGTAACGGAGCAGTATGCGAGTGCAGGCGTCGTCCGTGTGCTGCAGCAGAAGCCGTAAGCTGTGCTGTGGGCCCAAGTCGTTTTCATATCCTAGTCATCTGCCACACGCCGAACTCACCAAATACAGATCCATCAGTACGCCCATTCACTGAATTATGCCAATACCTCACACCAGATGCAAATTGATAAGTCACGCAAGTGCGAGAGAACACAAACAATTCTATAGCTAAAAAAGGAACACTCACAGACAGCATGGTACTAAAATGTGGCTTTCTGACACAACCGACTGCATAAACCGCTTAAACAAAATCCCTCGACACCGCGTACGTTTCGAACAAGTCCATATGATAATGACCGCGCGCAACACAAGCAGACGCGCTCAGATCCCATCAGATCTCGTGCGGTAATCTCGTCCACATCCTCCGAGTAACGTGAGATTCAACTGGCTGGCGAGCCAGAGGTGCCGCGCCTGGCAGTCGGGAACAGCCCAGCGATCGGGCTCGCCGCGGCGGCGTGAGTCGAAGCGTGCGCCGGCGGACGAGGCGGACACGTCGCCCCGTCCGACAAGCGGGTGCACCCACGAGGCCGCCGCCTGAAGGGATGCGGTGTGGCGCCGACGCAGGCAGCCGCCCGGCGGCACGAGGCTGGCGAGAACATAGCCACATGGCGCGCAAGCCTCTAGATTAGCGCAGGAATGTTCTGGATTCGTGTCTGCACTCGGCTCAGCCCGGCCCGGCCGCCCTTCAGACCATGCCCTGCTCCGGCGTCGGGGCCGGCCGAGTCCGTCCCGGGGCCTCCCGATAGTCCGGCGGGGCCGCAGCTGCCGCCGCCTCCGTCCGATCCTGCCCCGGCAGCGGGCGCCGCCACGCCCGCGGTTAGAGTCCGCTCGCGCGCGCGCGCGCCGGCCGCTACACGTAGGCGGCGCCGGTCGGCGGCGAGCCCTTGCGCTTCTGCGCGCCGTACTGGCCGATGAACGAGCCGTCCTCGGTGAAGCGGCCTGGAGCGCGAGGGCGACGCGTCAGCACTGCGCCGGCGGCGGCCTCCCGCCCCGCACCGGCCCGCTGTCGGCCCGAAAGGTGACCCCCGCCACCGCGGCCGCGGCGGCGCGCCCACAGAGCGAGCGGCACACGACGGTAACATCACGGTCGCAGACGATCGCATGTGACAATCGGGCAGCGGCACGACGTGAATGCTCAAGCTCAGCGTATAAGGAGAGCAGACGATAAGGGATTCAGCGGATCAAGCGCAGCACATTCCGGCAGAACATCCAGGCTACAGCGGTTCATTTGGGAGTAAGTTAACGACACTGCAAGGACATACAAGACCCCCAGGTCCGCAAAGGCAGCTTGTCTGTCGTCCACGATGCGATGCAAAACAGGGGGATTTTCGTCCGAGCTGAACGTCAGCATGTACGCCTCAGATCTGCAGGTCACCGAGCATACACAAGACCGAATGTTGACTTGCACTCGATTTGCAAGCCCATTCACACTCTGACTCATTACTGCGTCACACCACACGTCACTGCCGACCGAGCTCGTCTCTGCTTCCGGCACGGAAGGAGCTGGCTGGAGTGGAGCAGACCAACAGACCGCGCGGAGACGCCTCTGTCCCGCCTACAGACCGTGCAAGGGCGCGCGCGGCTCGGCCGGCGACAGCTACACGAACGTGCCGATCTTGGTGTCGGCCGGCGGCGGCGGCTGGTGGCGAGGCCCGCGCCCGTACTGGCCGATGAATGAGCCGTCCTCGTTCATGCCCTCTGCGCGTCGGCCGGCCGGCCACAGGCGGCGGTCAGTGGGGGACGCGGCGCTATCGGGCGCGCGCCGCACAGCCAGGGCCAACACCTCAAACGGACAGCCAGCCGCAGTCAACCTAGACAAAACGGCGTGGCGAGCGAACCAATGATCGCGGGGAGGGGAGCGATGTTCTCCCGGCATGCTTTGGTCAACACCGAGTGGCGGTTGGCTGAGTGGGGCCAGGCAAACCATAAAGGGAACGTCGGTAACTGCGGCCGTGGAACTAATTACGGTGCAACAGTCATGCTGAGTGATGCGTCATGCAAGATGCTGTTGACAATGACCTTTACTTAAAGCGGACCGTACCGTACGTCCAGACACACGAAAAAGGCCCGGCCTTTACAAAAAAGAACTGGCAAAGGGACCAAATTACCGAACTGCAAACTCGGCGTCGGGCGTCACCACGGCCTCAGTATCCGGCCGGAC